TGAATTAAATTATATGATTGAAATGATAAAGTTAAGCATAGAGTGATGTGACCAGAAGTCTATGAATGTGGAAGCGAGTTTTATATTATTTCATTGGTCAAATCCTGATCAAGAGGAAGACAAATACAAAAATGGGCCAACATTTGTTCAGCAATTCAAATATTTCCAGCTAGCTTCTATATTTAAAAATGTTTTTAACATTCACATAAACATCCACATATATTCCCATACACACTGTACATTTCTTATTTCTCCAAATCAGAAATATAGGAGTGACTGTAGTCAACACATAAGGATGTCAAAAATTGGCTCCAATATTGATTCTAAACCATTTTTAATTTTTGCCTGAAGTCATTCAAAAGGTTTTTTTTAATCTCATGTCTGCAAACATGTGGCTTCACATCACATTGAAAGTATCTTTAGTTAGTAGAACATTAATTTGGAAGTGAATTTATCTCTATGGAATAAACAACAAGTGTAAAACCTAATTTAAATAACAAAGATGCATTTTGAATAACAAAAAAAGAGAAGAAAGATGCAATCTCATAAAATGTTCTATCAACAGGTTTTCCAAAAGGAAGTACAAGAAAACTCCAAGAACTCAAATGGCTTAGAAGATTATCTGACATGTGGATGACAAACAGGTTTTGTGCCAACCCCACATAGTTCACATTGTTTTGCTCCACTTACCATCAATGCCTTGCAGTATCCTCCTGGTGGTCATTTTCTTTCGTGGACGGATTCGGTCGATCTTCTCTGGGCAGTAGCGCAGCAGCAGAATGAAAACCAGAGTGATCAGGAAGCTGCCCAGCAGGAGGACGGGCACCACGATCACCTCCTGTTCATAAACACGGATCTCTGCAAGGTGATCAGACACAAGGTTATGTGTTAGCTTGACTGGCAACAAGTCTGAGGCTTACTTGTTAAAATGAAATGTTTCTTTTATTATAATTTGGACTGTGTGTTTTGTTCAGATTTATATTTAGATAGCTTTTCAGTTTTTTAAATTGTTTCCATGGGAGTAAACACAAATGAGAAAATATCACAAAGATGTTAAAGTCAAGACAAAAAAAAAAAAGAGGAAGACAAATAAATAAAAATTGCATAATAAAATGTCAAATTAAAGACCTATTATCCAAACTCCAAATTAGGGGTTTTCCAAATATTTTCAGAAATTGCACATGACAGCAAGCTGGAATTTGCTGTCGACTCAAATACAGAGTTTGAGTTCTGTATTTAGGGAACATGTTTAGCCCACCTTAAGAATGGATAATGTATTATTTAAGATGATGCTAATCCAGACCAAAAAGTATCATGAAAGCTTTCTCTGATTAGTGGTCAGAGGTCCTGATAAAACTCACCACAGGCGGTGTCTCCATGAGTGCAGCGAGAGTCTGATCCTGACATCCTGTCAGATTGAAAGAGAATGAAGAGACAGAAACAGCAACACACATTCGTCATTTCCAACCTCAATGGGTAATTAAATATTTTTCCATAAAGCTTGGTAATAACAATGGAGATCATTTCACACAAATAACAGAGCTCTTTAAAGACTGATTTTACATAAAATGCAAAGAAGTGTTTCTATTTGAGCCTGAAGGTGTGACCTCAGGTGCTAAATAAAACATGAACATTGACTTCTTCATAAAAGTGGAAATGATTCATCCATGAGTCTAAAACATCAAAATAAGGGACGAGGCTTCCCTGAAAGACAATTAGTTATGTTGTTTGTGGAGCAAAGTCTGTAACATGACTCTCACACGTAAGCGCTAAGAAAGGCCTGAACTGTAACTGAGACCAGGAACCTCAGATGTTGTGTTAACACATGAAGTGTCAATGTTTTCTTCCTCCTCTCTTCTCGATTTATTGTTTTTAATCTTCTGGTTACACAACCATCATAATCTGACATATTAATTTTGCAGCTGCGGCCCAATATTTTTATTAGTTATCACCATCAAAACTTTTGTAATCAACACCAAATAAACATACATAACCAAGAAATTTGAATGCTGTGTGCTGGATTGTCTGTGGTTTAAAAAAGGCACTATAAGGCATACCATACCATACCATACCAACTTTATTTATAAAGCACTTTAAAACAACCACAGCTGATACAAAGTGCTGTACATAAAATAGATAAAAACAAATAAAAACTCTTACAGTTTAAAACAAACAAACATACAATGTGAAACTAGATCTCGCTGGAGTTGAAGGCCAAGTAAAATAGATGGGTTTTAAGACGAGCTTTAAAAGAGGTCCGCGATAAAATCTCTTCATTTGTTCACATCATATCCTACAACTCCAAACCTGTCAATCTGCATTTTTCTGTCACATTAAAGCATGTGTTGCACTTCACACCCAGTGTGTTCAAACATAAAGAACTCGGTATTCTCAATACACCACCCTGAAAACAACTAAAAGTTGCATTTTCTAAGCGGTTTCTGAACCTGGATAATCGAGCTCTTGTTATAAAACAGATCGCATTGTGTTTCAGAAACACTGTAAAGAAAGACTTGTCTTACCTCACTTGTTTGGGGGAATTTCTGAATGTCAAAGAAGATATATACTGTGTAGAATCGTCTTATCGGAGGCTCCTTCCCTCTGTTTGGCACTTTGCTTGCATCCTGTCAGCTGTGCTCCTCAGCTCCTCCTTGTGTTTTTCGTCTCCAGGGATCAATTTTCTGCTCTCTGTTTCTCTGCCTTTCCACCTTAAGTGTTTCCTTTAACTCCACCCTCATCACCTGCACCACATCCGTCACTTCTGTTTTCTCGTTTCTAACTCTCCTTCCCTGCTGGAGTGATGCTGCTAAGGACTGAAATCATCTGTCAGGTCCCCAGAACTCACACCTGTAGCCTTTCTTCCTCTTTTTGACAGCCGTTCTTTAGTTATTTTTTCTTTCTTGCCCTCCCTTTCTGCTCTTTGTTCACAGAAACAAGTCCAGCCACTCCTTGTCACTTTATAGTTTCCATCTGTTTGTTCACTATGCTTGATCTGAAACTTGCATAACTGGCTTTTCAATCTCAGTGACATTGAGTCATCAAAAAAACAAACTGCTTTTTGAGTTTAATCACAATGAGCACAAATGTTTTAATTGCTCAGCAACACAACCACGACCCTCACTGTGCAGCCCGGTTACTTAACTGCAAAGTGGAAAAAAAGATGGATCAAAAAATATTTCGGGTGATCTGACTCCAAAGGCCAGATAAATATCTAGGCCAAACAAATTGAGCACCATCTTACATTTCCCTTTCGCTTTATAATCATGTGCTACTTTATTTTCAGTCTTTCAGATGAAACATTTGACTGTAAAGGAACAGAAGATGTGCTAATGTGAATATAATATATGGTTCTGATAAACTCTAGGTATATAAAATAGTATACATTTGATGATTTTCAAAACAGTTGAATATTCAACATTTCACAAAAAAAATGACTGATTAGCACATCAATCACACATAAAGAAAAAAACTTAATATTAGAAGAAACCTTAAACACACCCATTGTTGTTACTTAAACACAATTTGCAATTGTGTTTTTCAGATTTATGTATCCAATGACAATGTGGCCATATTAACTGAGTCCAGTTCTGTTTCAGTGTCTGAAATTAATCAAGCATTTGTCTCCACGAGTGTGTTAAAGATTTCTCAGCACACTCCTGGAGCGTATTGACCAATCTTGTAACCACGACTGCAAATTGTGTTTTGAACATCAGTGACCGCAAACCAAGATCTCATGTCTGCACATTACTCTGGCTGACTGAACCGGAGAGTGGCAGATCTGCTTCACACAAATCTAGTTTAATAAGAAATATTTCCAAACTGCTTTTACAGAAGTAATATCACGCCGCTGGGACCAGTGCAGAGCGGCTATTTGTGGTCATGACTCACAGATATAAACTGGTTCTCCTGCCCGTCAGGTAAACAAATGCCAGCATCCTCAGGTTATATAAGTAAATAAACCTGGGATTGTATCAGAGGTTCATATGAAGGGCGTGTCAACCTACTAACTGTTACTGTTTTCCTTTAAAATAAAAAAATGGTACTTGTTGTTCTTGCAGGAAAAATGATCAGTGAATCAAAATTTAAAAACATTCTTTTTTACTCTTTTCATATTTTCTATTTTAGATTAAATCACTCGTGTGGGTTATTTTCTGCATTACTCCCTCTTCATATTAGGTTAGTAGAATACATAACATCTGAATTTTTAGTTGAACCACTTATGATATAGATTTTGAAGAGAAAGATTGAAACATTAAACATCACAGAGATTAAATCCTTGATATTTCTGTACTCTTGTTCTATATTTACTCTTCTACTTTATCACATGTACTTCTACTTATATGGTTCATTTTCCCTCTTATTCTATCTTAGTGCTGCATTTTGTTTTAAGGTAACAAATTTACAGACAATAAGGCACAGCTAGCTAATGAGTATGCATTTCTACTGCAGTGGTGTTTAAAAAAAAAATTAAAACAATTAACTCTGATTGGTGTCCATTCACGTTGATGATGTCACAAGAGGAAAAAGATGGAATTAGATAAAAGCTTTAAACAGCCATTTTATTTTTTCCACTTGTTGTGGTCTGCTTATCTGTAGTTGCATCAATGAGGTCAACATTTCTCGACCCTAGAAGGAGCAGTGAAGTCCCTCCAGAAAATTCTGGCTCTGCTTCGTTCGAAGTCTCCTCTGACAAGGACTGATCAGAAAAACCTCTGAAGAGGCTTCACCCTCTCCAATGAAGGAGACTTCCTTCATAAACACTTGTCAAAGATCGTGTCCTTCAGGTAACAATTCACCTTATGATTATAGATGAGGGGTCAGTTCCAAGTTTGCTTCAGCACAACAAACTGGAATCCAGTGCTTCCTGCTGGGGAAAGCTAGAATCATTCTGTCCATCGTTTTCATTAATCTAGTCTACCATAATGGGGAAATAACTGTTCAGATTTAGGGAGAGTATTTTCCAAAATCTTAAAGGTTCATAGACTTTCATTGGATCAAGAAAGGTTTCTATTAAAGATTTATTGAAGTTTTTATTAGAAACACAAACATCAGCTTTGTTCTGTTCTTTGACAAAAAAGCCATTCATTCATTCATTTGATTCCATTAATCAAACCAATGGACAAACTGCAGCATAAGTCACAGAGCCACATCAACATTAATGCTAACAATAAACATGCCCTATTAGCATTTAAATGTAGTGAAAGCTGCTGCGAGAAACATTTTCAGAAAAATGTTATTTCTGGTATTCTGGCTCAAACTAAAATTATGTAGACTAAATAAAATGAAATTAAATAGATTAATTTCAGAAGGCACAGCTTAGAAAATCTGTGTTGGCTGGAATAGTGAGTTAAAGAAGGTCTGATCTCAAAGCCTGGAGGCAGAGTTGTCTGGGTTAGGCCCCAACCACTTCTCTCCTGCAACAAACAAAAACAAATGATCTTTTAGAATACAATGCATGTATCCAATTCTGTAGATAGATGCAAAATCACAAACAAATGAGTCTTTTTTGACTCCAAACAGCTGGAGTATGGAAACACCTAATCAGACAAAATCCCATGATTTTAGTGAATCGCAAATTCATCCTGAATCTGCATTTTGTTTTTTAAATGAGTGCAATGTTAAAGTTCAGTTAATGTCCTATGGCACATTCGGTCATACTGTGTTACTTACACAGTATGACTTTCCCCCATTGAAATGGGGGACATATTCAAATATTCAACTTGAATTATGCCAGAAGTTTGTTGATGAATGTTAGGGGAAAGTTGCTCAGGGCATTTGAGCAAACATCAGTGGGGTGTGTGTCTGTATATTGGATTTTATATGTATAATTTTGCACACTAACATCTCCAACTTGACTATGCAATTATAGGCTCGATTTAAAAAATCGCGCTGAAGTTGTTGCATTATCACTCCACCCTAAAAATGGTTCAAATAAATAATTCAAATCCAAAATTCCTACATTCAAGTCAACGATAATTTGACATATGTACAGTGTTTTCTGGGTTTCTCACCAAGGCAGTTGGCCATGAGCTCAAATCTGTCAGATCCAAAAAACATCTCGGGTTTTCCATCAATATGACAAATCAGCATTGGGAAACCAAATGCCTGGGAAAACAAATTACAAGTATTGTTTCTTTAAAATAAACTAATTTCTCTTCAAAGAACAATTAAAGCAAAAGAGCCACCAACCCCAAAGTTGAGAGCCTCCTCTGTTGAGCGTTTGAGCTTATCCTTGATCTCCTGCGTGGTGTACAACTTTAGCGCTTTTTCAGTCTCACTGTCACTCAGTCCTGCTTTTTTGGCTGCCTAGGGAAAAACAAACAAACACAACAGACAGAAATGAATGCAACTCAAAATCTAATCAGAAATGAGACCAACGCATGTGTTTTTAAGCAACCACCTCAGAGAAGGATTCAGGTTTAGTGATGTCTTTGTCCTCACTCCAGATCCTCCTCCACAGCTCCCTGGAAACCCGCTCCACCAGCTTGTCTCCACCCTGCTCCATATGCTGCACCGCTGTCACGAACCGCATCGCAGACAAACTTCCTAACAAGAAAAGAAACATTCCGTCTTATTTATCAAAACATTTCTTGATAAATCAGATTGTTTTTACTGCACTGTTTATACAACAGCGATTAAAATCGAGTTGAGTTTTCTGGCGTTGTGGCTTTTGCATTTTGCTGACCTGTCTTTGCTACTGTAACTTACCAAGTCCTACTTATTTAATTAGAAACTATAACATTGTAGCTACCTGTCTGATCAGAGCCCAGCAGAGAACCCATGCTGATGGTGTTTACCTTTTTGGAACATGACCTCAAATGGGTCAGCAGGTGGGTGTAAAGGGACGCCAAAGTAGCTGGACGCGCGGTGAAGATCCTTAGTCATGTAGGAAAATTTGTTGGGAACTAAACCAGGAGGCTTGTTTCCTGTCATAAAAGACACAGGTTATAAACATGCACATGGCTTTTAATGTACGCTTTCTGGGTCCTTCATGCTCACTGACCTGCTCCATGCATGATGCCTCCGAGGAAGGCAGGACGAAACTTCAGGTCGATGTTCCACACGTTTCTGTAGCGACAGATGACCTGGGAATACAAGGCACAGAGTGAAAAATACGGATTGGACCTGCAGGACGAGTCAGAAGGAAGACACGAACCTCAAACCCGAGCCAGGAGTAAGGTGAGACCACATCATAGAACAGCTCCACCACTTTCCTTGAGGTCATCTTCAGGTCTTTAACCTTTGCAGATGCAAACCTTCACGTTTAGATTTACACTAACTTACAATGTGCAGGTCGAAGTTCTTGCGCTGCTCTCTCAAGCAACCTTGGAGAACCTCCAAGCGAGTCAAAGTTGAACTGACCTGACGCAGCGCAACCGAGCTTGGGGTTTGTAGTTCGGCAGAGGAAAGATAAACAAACAGCGCAAACCCGTTAGCAATGAGCCGCAACTAGTTCATCAAACTGGCGCAACTATGAGCCGCAACTGGTTCATCAAACTGGCGCAACTATGAGCCGCAACTGGTTCATCAAACTGGCGCAACTATGAGCCACAGTCCAACAATCAGACAAAAACTACGACTCAAAAGCAGCATTTTTCTTTTTTGGTTCTTAATGGAGGCTGGCCAACAACGTAACTTTGCGATCCTGCCATCTACTGGCAGAATGCTGCATATGAAAATTTAAATCTGAAAATAAAATAATCTTATAAATATTTGTATTATTGTATAAAAGATAACTGAGATTATTTTATTTTTAGAGATTTTAATGTTTGTTTATTTCCTATACAGAACTCTTCCAAAATAAAAATAAAAAACAGGAAATATGCATCTTTAAACTAAGTAAATATTCTCAAAAGAAATATAGGATTTTTCTAAATGTGCTGAGTGTGAGTTTAAAATTTAAGTAATTGCAGGTTATTTTAAGTATATTTAGCAGGGATCTCGTTGTGCTGTCTTATAGCCTCATCTCTTGTACAAAACTGTTAGCTGTATAGATTTTTGTTTCTGTGCGTTTAAAGTTTACTGTTTTAATTCCAAATGGTAAAGATTTACTTCCTTGTTACTGTGTTAATGCTTTAATTTATAGAGACACTAGTGTACATTCAACTGATATAGGTCCATTCTTCTCTTAATATATTTAGTCAATCATACTTGATTCTTTCTTTCCCTCTCACTTTCTTTATTATAAGCAAGGACTGCCACCTACTGGCAAAAATCCGTTTTTAAAAACTAGAATTTTCTTTTGTGATATTTGTAAATGCTTATTTGCTGAAATGCTACACACAAAAAGACAACATTACAAGCAAAATTACCAGTTAGTTTGTAGTAAGTTGAAATATCAAAAAATCTTCAACATTTGTAACCATTGTCACTTTATTTAATTTCAAACTCAAACAGTTCTAAACCTTTTTTCTGTTCTACATGCCAAACAAAAACACCCAAACTCATAAGTTTTTGCTTCATTCAAAACATGCTTTATGAGTCATTTTTGATCTACATTTGTTCATATGTTGATACTAAATGTAATCTTTAAAGTAGTGTAATATGGGCATCATAAATAACATAATAGACAGTTTATTTTTACTATCAGATCAATCTTTAAAGCTGTATGTTTTTAATTAATTACTCTCTATTGTATCAGTATAAATGAATCACCAAAGTCAAACTAAATGTTAGCTGTTAAAATAATCATGATCTTTTTTCTCAATAATTTACATTTTAAATGTTCTCATTAATCTGAAATGTGTCTATGATTGTATAATAAATATATTTTCTACAAAATCTATTTACTTTTAAATTCTCTTTACAAACAGGTAATTCACAGGTATGACAAAGGTAAAAAGCTCGTCTAAATTACTATATGGATCTAGAATCTCCAATTAAAGGCTTTATTTATGTCTCCTCTTGAGGACTTGCTTGATCTTTGAGTTCAGCTGTTCCAGAGCTGTCACTGGAGAAAAGAAACAGTTTCATATTTTCATCTCAGGGCACAAAGTCAGAAAACCTGCCTGACTGTTTTGCCTTACCTCTCTGCATCTTTGTCCACCTGCAAAGGAAGAAAACACTTCAGTCTTTTTCTATTAAAAATAATAATCATCCAGTCTAATTAAGTGCTCTAAAAATATTGTTACCTTTGGCTTTTGTGATGAATTTCCAGTGTTCTTCCTGGGAACACCCAGAGTCTCAAATGAATGGCTTCGCACTCTGATGGCTCGCTAATGAAACAATGATTTTGGAGAAGAAAATGATCAAATACTCAGTTCAGGGCTTTCGAGATGAGGTTTGGATAAACAAATATTTGCAGTTAATATTTTATCTGCAGAACATAACTCACTTGGTATAAAACCAGATTAAGTTCCCCCATGGGGTGAAGACCAAAGTGTACTTTTATCTTCTTAAACATATTTACTATTTTATGAGCCTATAAACTTGTCACATTCATCTGTGTCAGCTGTTATTGAAATAAACTGATTGTTTACATGGAAAATGGAAGTAGAAGGTAGTGCATCCTAATCCTCCTGTACAGAAGCATTTTAAGTGAGATTTACTGCTGTGGTGAACATGGAAGTATGACACTGAACCTTTTACTTCCAAAAATTTTTTTTTTCCTTCAGACCCCTTCAGAATATGCTCTGGATATTCAGATTAATCCAAAAATAACCCCGTATTTGACACAAAATGTAAAAGTCTCAGTAATAGTTTGTTTACAATCTGTTTTCTCTCTTGTCTGCAGAAAGTGTCTCAGAAAAAGATTTTATTAAGCAATGAGAAAATCAATAAAATAGCAATAAATCACTATACTGTTTTTGCTTTCTTACTGTCATTTACTTCATAAGTTTGAAAGTTATTCTCACTGGAAATGTTTTGCATGTCTGACCCATAGTATGTTTCACACTGGATAATCACTCTAGCCTCCATTTCCTAGATGAATATTATATAAATAATACTTTTGTATTATGTTCTGCTCAATGCAAAATAATCTGTCATGGAGTTATTTAGGATTATGGAAGTCTTGATTTGTCAGACAAGCAGTTTTTTATTTATAAAAAAATGTGCCTACTTCTGATTGGATATTGTTGATAACCTTTGAATATGTCCTCACTTTAAAAGTCCAGAATTGCTCTTCTTAGTAAATGATGTGATTAGTTTCTTTGCAGTGCCAGTATTCACCTTAAAATTTTCAATAAAGCCTCCACTTCCTTCAGATGGGCCTCTTGTGCTCTCAGAAGGTGGGGCGGCAGTGACTGATGGATCTCCCATCATGCAGCGAGAACGGCTCAGGAGTTCATTATGCAAGCTCTCCAGGAGTGCTGAGCGCGTACGCAGCTTAACATGAGAGGAGCAGTCGCCAGAAAATACTTTTATAAGAGGAAAACAAATTGCAGAACAGGTCTGGGTGTTATTACAGAGTACTAATGAAAACACTTTTTTTCTCATGCTACCTCCAGTCTGCTGAACTGTTCCGCCTTATAGCAGGCAATCTCTGCATTGACGAGCTTGGTGAGAAGAAATTCCCTCAGCTGTGAACGCTTAAAAACAAGAAAGGGAGAACAATTTATCATAGTATCACAGTTCAGGTTTATAGGAAGGCTTTCATGCATAAATCATATGCAGAAAAGATCCAATAAAGTTAAATCTTAACAGGCTGACAGTTAAATTGAGACCATAAAAAAACTAAAAACCACCTCTTATATCTTTATTTTCTTTTGACATAATGTTTTAAAATGATGTGAAACAGAATGGCTCTTGATAAATGAATGTAATAATGTAATGCTAATAAAACTGTTTAAAAAGAGGCCAATCCAAACCTCAAACAACAATATTAGTAAGTGTTTTCTACACATTTTCTACACATTTATTTGATATTTGGCTGATTTTTCTTTTCTTTTTGTCCAGTACTTGTAGCAGTCTGTTAGAGCTTGTGGTGCAGTGCTTATAAAATGAGACAATTGAACAAGAGGAAGAAAAATGGACAGGTGTGAGGCCTAAAACAGTCATCAACAGTGTCTGAATGTGATAACTTCAAGAAAAAGAAAGATCTTTTGGAAAAACTTTACACAGAACTTAGGAATCGACTGAGAAATGGCAACAAATCAGATCCTTGTAACAAACTGTCAGTATAATTATGCTTAAATATTCAATTTACAAATGTTTCTCTCCTCAATTATAATATATGTGTTGATGTTATGGGCTTTTCTTTTGTTCAAAGAAAAGTTTGAACAAAACAAAGCTTTTTATTTCTTTTTCCACGTTGGACTGCTGTACTCCAAATGATGAAAGGCAGCCAACACCCAAAGAAAAACGTTAACAAACTTTTGAGAACTATTGACCAAAACCACTTCAAAAATAAGAGGACAGTCTAATCCAGCAGATGATCAGCCAGCTGGTATGTACATCTGTACCTGAAACACCAAACTTCAAGAAACAAAAATCCTAAAAAATTCAATAAAACAGTGAAAATGAAGTGTCTTACATCTGTGAAAAGTGGAGGATCTGGGATAACGGGACCAAAAGGCGGAACGTCTTCTCTGGCTGTAACAGACACCTGGGAAGTACAGGACAGGATTTATATCTTCAAGATCCTTCATTTAAATCATCATTAGGTCATTGAAATACTCTGAACAGCAGAAAAATATTCATTTTCATCTACAGTAACTAGAACAAATATCGCTTTCTCTAATGATTCCATCAACTAAGGTTAAACTTTCCTTCTGTCTTCTAAAATTGTTTACTTCCCCTTTTCATTGGACACAGTCACTGAACGCTATGCATTATTGGGAAGAAGAAACATGAAAAATTTCTCTGATAGAGAAAATAGAGAAGCTGTGGAAAGTTAAAGCCACAATTCTCCCACAAGTCATTGGTGAACTCTGAAACCATTTTTTAACTATAGACAAAACGGTAGGAAATAAGGATGAAAAAGACCATATTAGACCTCACTGTCCAAAATGTCGATCACTTTATGTGGACAAATAATTAAGCTGAAACTGGTTCACACTCACCTGGTAAGCAGCTCCGCCCTCCTGCTCCTCCTTCTGAACCCTCCGCACCACCACAAAGCAGTGCAGGAAGTGAGACTTGATGACATCACACAAAAAGGGGGTCTGTCCCTCCTGGTACACCAACGCTACAATGTCATTACCAATGTGTCTTTTTCTCTGTAACTAAGAAAGACAGAAAAAGAGCTCTGGAAACTTTTTGTCTTCCAATAAAATTGTCTGGAGATAATTTGGGCCAAAAAGATATGAGGTAAGACCTGCTGAGGGTCAGCTTCTGTGTAAGGCAGCTTGGTTGCAACATGGAACATGATTTCTCTGCCATTAAAGGAAGTGAAGACTGCTTCATTTCCTGTCTGGCCGTGACACACATCCAGTCCTCCTCTGAAGCTAAAAAAGACAAATAAATCACACTGTAAGACCAAAATTGTTTTTGCAAAACTACACTTTTGTGACTAATTGTTTTTGTGATTGTTCGTAATTCGTAACAAAATCTAAATGTTAAAAGCTGGGTGCAGACTCCAACTACTGTGCAGTTGCATCCAAAGAATTCGAACAAGTTCATTTATTTCAATGGTTCAATT